TGCCAACCGCCAATAAACAGAAAAAGAAGAAGAAGAAGAAGAAGAGGAAAGATCATTGTTTGGTCCTCCGCCACGAGGAGGCGCTGTGATTGAGCTGCGCAGCGCTAAGCGGAGGTCACGCATGCGCACAAGCTTCTGTTTCTAGACATTTGGACGGAGTGAAAGAGAGCTGTTAGCTTTTATCCCTTTCCCTTGTTGCTATCTCTAAAGCCCTTCATATAGAGCTACGGTGACTTTATAATGGATTTGGAAGGTGCCACGTATGAACCTGGTTTTGTGGGCATCCGGTTCTGTCAGGAGTGGTGAGTTTAGATGAGTTTGGAGAGCTTGTGTCTCAAACTCGTGTCGCTAATCTGGTGTGTGTGTGTGTGTGTGTGTGTGTGTGTGTGTGTGTGTGTGCAGCTCATGCACTCATTCCTCAAGGAAAGCCAATGAGAATCAAATAAGAGTACACACACACATATACATATATATATATATACACACTACTTGCCATATAACAAAGCCAAGTGTACATCTCATGTTAAAGCTGAATAAAAAGTTGATCACAAAAAATAAGAGCGACTCTTGTAAAGACCTCCAGATGCTGGGGTTTGGTGAGAAAGTGCTTATGGGTAATAATCAGCGTGTACCTGTCGGCTGCTCCACCTTGAGCCGCAGTCTGAAGTGTGATCCGTGTTGAGTGTTTCCAGGACTCCTCTGGCACGACGTCTCCACCAGACTCACAGCAGGCGTTAGCTTCATCTGATAGGTCCTGTCAGGGGTCTGGACGCTCAGGACGGAGTCTTGTTTGGACTCGATCTGCACATCTGCATCATCCCTAACAACATCACTGCTGTGAGGGTAAAATAAAAAGTCAGCGGTGAAACATTCATGATAATGAACTACACTGTAAAAAATGACCGTGAATTTAACGGTAAAAGACTGTAAAAATGCTACAGTAAAAACCTGTTAAATGGTTAGCGGTAAATTCCCTTATTGCAGGTTTATATAATATTCTGAGTTTGCAATTGACTGTTTTTATTCATTTTGAGGAATACTGAATCTGTTTTTGTGCAGTGAGAAGAGTAAATAATGTTCATATTTAATCTAGAACTACAGTAACATCACAGCGCACTCCACGCCTCTGCACTTACTCCCCATTTTTCTCAACATGGCAACACGAGAGCTGTCAGTCAAGGGAAACAAAGTAACTAGCGTTACGTATTTGAAAAAAGTAACTCGGGTATTTCCTTCTAAATTAAAAAGTAATGCGTTACTTTACTAGTTACTTGAAAAAAGTAATCTGATTACGTTACTTGTAATGCGCTACCCCCAACACTGATGGCAGTATTTGCTCTTGTATAAATCTCTCTCTTTTTACAGTAATAACATGTTGTATCCTAAAGAGGATAAAGAAAACCGCATCCTGCTCTATGCTGTAAGTTCTTTTTTGCCAAATCTGTGTGCATTAATTGTCCTTTCAGTCCATGCGAGAGTCCAATCAATGTTTTTTTGCGTGTTTGTGCATTGATTTATGATTACAGATGTGATCTAACATATGCATATGACTTGTTATGATTACAGTCAAATATTTAGCCGACTTTAAAGACCAAATGTGTCGTTTTTGCTTATTAGTATGGTTGAATTAGATCATCGAAGGTCTTATTTAATATTATTTAACATATTTAATTATTGCAGGTTTATATAATATTCTGAGTTTGCATTTGACTGTTTTTATTCATTTTGAGGAATACTGAATCTGTTTTTGTGCAGTGAGAAGAGTAAATAATGTTCATATTTAATCTAGAACTACAGTAACATCACAGCGCACTCCACGCCTCTGCACTTACTCCCCATTTTTCTCAACATGGCAACACGAGAGCTGTCAGTCAAGGGAAACAAAGTAACTAGCGTTACGTATTTGAAAAAAGTAACTCGGGTATTTCCTTCTAAATTAAAAAGTAATGCGTTACTTTACTAGTTACTTGAAAAAAGTAATCTGATTACGTTACTTGTAATGCGCTACCCCCAACACTGATGGCAGTATTTGCTCTTGCATAAATCTCTCTCTTTTTACAGTAATAACATGTTGTATCCTAAAGAGGATAAAGAAAACCGCATCCTGCTCTATGCTGTAAGTTCTTTTTTGCCAAATCTGTGTGCATTAATTGTCCTTTCAGTACATGCGAGAGTCCAATCAATGTTTTTTTTGCGTGTTTGTGCATTGATTTATGATTACAGATGTGATCTAACATATGCATATGACTTGTTATGATTACAGTCAAATATTTAGCCGACTTTAAAGAGGCTGATGTTTGTTAAAAGTGGTTTAACGGAGAAGTGCTTTGTGTTATTGGACGGAACACTCTCTTACTTGTTCATGTATGTTTTCAGTGCAGAAACTGCGACTATCAACAAGAAGCCGACAACAGCTGCATTATGGTGGCCGATATATCGTGCATCCCTAATTTCATGCTATAGCAAGTAGTAAAGAGGACAAAGATAAAGCTATCTGTCATGCAAGAACGTCGAAACAACATTTATTGTTTTAACTACGTGATGAAATTGACTGAATTTGTAACCTGACACTTTGTTTCATAACAAAAGTACAAAGCACGAAGCTGATTGCTGTTATTAGTGCTACAAGTAATGTTTAGTGAACAGCTCATGATCTGTTGTTTTCAGTGTCTTGAAGCGGTTCGGGTCACATTAAATGCTGCTCCACACAAACTATCTGCTCTGAGTTTCGGTCGCTTTTAATGTGCATTTGGAAACGCAACCAATGTTTCACACGCCAACCATCCTCACCAACTTGTATTGAGAAGAGCTAATAAACTGACTATTGTTCCAAAAAAAATAGAGAAGGCTCTTCGGTTTTCCGCCAAAATAAAACCATAAATATTGGTATTGTAATTTTAAAGTTGTACTGCAAAATATTTTTCTGAATACTGTATTACAGTAGTACAACTAATAAATCACAAGATGTTTGACTATATTCTGTAGCTGTACAAACCACAAAAAACACGCAAAACTTGAGCCCAGAGTTTCCGAGTACCCCTGGAAAGTTTGTAAAGCGTAATTACAACATCAGATCAAATGTTTCTCAAACGTAAGATACTTTGTATGAATTTCTTGTTACATAAAGCAATTTCACACTGTCAGTCATGCTGTAGTTCTGAAAATCAGCACGGCTGTGATTGCCTCAGGCTGAATCACAGTGCAAACTAACTTATCATCAACATGAGTATAATCACAAGGTTTGATTTTTTTCCCATTGTACTTAAGAGAAGTGGTTGAGTAATCGGACACAGCGTTAATGCCACTTGTTACGTTATGCAACTCTGCCAAGCTGTCACTTCTGTTATTTGTGCAATGGTAAAGTATCGCCTATTCATAGTGGCATTTCCATTATGATCTATAAAAAGCCCGTGCAGTAGAATTTCTTCATATCTGCCTGTAGGACTCGCGACCTGAATTTCTGCACGAGACAGGAAAGTACGCGGAAGCTCAGCATGTTTGTCCCTCCCAGTCATATAGGGCTATTAAACTTGTCAGCTTGCAGGTCATGTCAACCACATTCGCCGGGTTTGAAAGAAACGTTGATCGCTGATATGGACGGACACACCGCTGGAGAACCCGTGGATATGAACGCAGGTAAAAGCAAGCGACCGTGCGCATAGCCTATATATGCCATTTGTAGCGTGCTTATCTGAGCGCACTGTTGTGTCGCAGTGGCTGTAGTGAGTCGTCGCGGATGGAACGCCGTGGAAGCTCGGGACAGGACGGAGATGAAGAATCCCGCACAGACGGTGATCGTTCACCACACGGCGCTCCGGTACTGCGCGCATCCACCCGACAGCGTCTCTCAGCTCGCGCACATCCAGCACATGCACATGCAAGAGAGGGGCTTCGACGATATCGGTTACAAGTAAGACATTATAACAAAACACTACATGTAATATCGGACCGTTCTTTATATCACAGTGTTATTAAGTTATACAATGATACATTCAAAATAAAGATTCCAAATGGGTGTTTTTGCAGTGATGCCCTAGTTTTGGTTCCCAAAAGAACCATTTTGAAGAACATTTAAAAAATATAAAGAACCTTTTTTGACTATGAAGACAACATTTTACAGTCAATTAAAAATATGTAATTTTGCTTTAAGATATTAAGAATATCCACAATACTCACAAGTGTCCACCCACATGAAAGTCAGTGACGTGTTAACTAACATATAGGAAGCAATTTTGCCATGTGACCAAAAATACATTTTTTTTTTTTTAAAGAAAACAATACAGAAACGTCCCCTGTAGATAGATCATCAAGACTGTGTCTAAAGGGTTTTCTTTTTCTTTTCAAATAATCACGTTTGCAGCTTTTTCCCCACCAAAATAAAAAATTAAAAAGTTTTGTCCTGTTTGAATTTTGCGGACATAACAAGGCTGACTCCAGTCTATACCTTACCAGTGTTGGGGAAAGTTACTTTTAAAAGTAATGCATTACAATATTGCGTTACTCCCTAAAAAAGTAACTAATTACGTTACTTAGTTACTTTTTATGGAAAGTAATGCGTTACATTACTTTTGCGTTACTTTCGCGTTACTTTTTAAATATAAGCAGGGCTTGATTGTTTTTAACATAAGAAGTTCTATTTATAGCAAATGTAAAAGCCCTTAACACCAAAAAGTGTAATGAATAAACCTCAGGCTGAAGCAAAAGTAAATTCACGTCTGTACAGTAGAACGCAGGAGAAGAAACACTCTTCAGCAAAAAAAAAACAAAGCACAAATGTTAGTTTATCTAAAGTCATTTTTGCTTATTAGTATGATTGAAATGGATCTTCAAAGGTCAGCAGCAAAGACATTGGTTAATAAAACGGGATTAAATACATTTGTGTTATTTAACATATTTAATTATTGCAGGTTTGCGTCATATTCTGAGTTTGCATTTCACGGTTTTAATTCATTTTGATGAATACTAAATCAGTTTTTTGTGAGTGGGATGAATTAATGCACATTCACATTTAGTCTAGAACTACAGTAACATCATGTTCAC